GGTCGTCTGGGTAGATGACCGCCTGACGACTGCTGCCACGCAATGCGACATGATCGCTGCCTCGAGCTCAAACGCGCACCGTGGGGTGTGGTTTCGCGCAAGATGGAAGCGTACGGGTTCGTCCGTGAATCAGACAAGAGATAGCGGGGGCAACGGGCGTCTGCGCAACACAGCCAATGACCGTGACACAGCCATTGGCCAACGGACTGCGATTGTCACAAGAGGATCACCAAATGCTCAACCCCTTGGCAGGCACGTTATTGCCCCTCGCGGCCCACGCGGCCGGCCCATCGACGGTGACACTTGTGGAACCATCTTGGTGCCCCATTGATGCGAGAGATTGCTTGACGCCACTTGACGCCACTTGGCGCCACTCGACGCGGTCATTTGGTCTCTTTAGGATCCCGAGCAACGAGCTTGGCCGCTCTCAGCCGTCATCTCTTGCACGGTGACCACCAAGGCGCCTGCATACATCTCATCCACGCTCGTCTCACGTCGCGATTCAATACTTCCTTCTCACATCGTGATTTGACCGTGAGACACTCGCCGATCGGCCTTCTCAGCCTGCTCATTTGCGAGGTCGTGTCGCAGGTGGCAAAGGTGAGCATGGCTCTCGAGCACCTCACAGCAGAACTAGGCTAGGTGCAATCTCGTCTTGCCTCTATGCTCGCTCGTGCCAGATGTGTGGCGCGACTCGAGATCACTCTCCGCAAAATGTTTCTCCTCTGATTGTGTTGCGGCCATCCAGCTAGAGCCTCTGTCATGAGCACTTTGAAGCATGGCAACGGCGCAACTTGCTTGTACAGACGCAACCTTGCAAATCAGACATGGGTGATGAAAGGAGCCAAAGGTTTGGGTGACATTTCAACGTTCGACTACGACTTGAATGTTGCGCATACAGGGAACACGTCGTCAGTCACACATGTGCAGGAAGGGGCACTCTCGTAACGACAACTTGATATCCTCTTGATGGCAATGCGCATCTCTGTTCTGCCCCGATCCGCATGTCTCCGAAGATAGATCGTCTTGATCACAGCACGGGTCGAGTGAGTCTCACTGCGCGCTTTGCTCTGCGCTCAAGGTGGAGCGTCAGCGCGACGTCTTAGCCAGGCGCAGTACGCCTCCATGAGGTGAAGATCTCTCTCCATCTCTGGCGGGGGCTGACGATGAGCCTGAACGTAATCAAGAATATCTTGATAAATCTCGCCCTTGAGATGGCTCTGGGCATTGATAATCTCTGGGGGAATCCTGCTCTCCTCGAGGCATCTTTGGCGCACCTCATGCCATGCTTGCGCACCCTCTTCAGGACTCATCCTCTTGTGCGGCCAGCAGGCCTGGCTAAAAGTCTGTAGCCTGCGATGAGGATGGTTCAAGATGCCTTGAAAGTGCGCAAGCAGTGCTTTGCGGGGAGGCGCAACGGTCATTGGCTGCTGCGCCTCCTCGAGACTTGGTCCAGCGGCCGGTGTCGATGGGATAACAGGAGCAATGGACGGCGGCGGCGGTGCAATGATGGGAGCAGCTGGTGGTTCTCTCCTTGTGTCCATCGTCATTGCCTCGTCGTAATGCTGCTTTAGACGATCTGCTCGCTCCTTTTCAAGGCCACACATGCGCTTGTGGTGGTCTCTTTCTGCACGCAACGCAGCAGCCTGCTCTTGCAGCGCGCGCATGTCTGCTTGATGCGTCATGTTCGCTTGAGTGAGGGCTGAATGACTAGCATCCAGCTCTGCGCTCAATATAGAGATCTGTTCTTCCTGCGTGCGTACTTCTGTGTTGTCGCTTGCGCGGAGTTGCGCAAGTTCAGTCTGCATTGTGGCCAGTGATTCACGCACCGTGTGCAAGTGTTGAACCGCAGTCTCACAATGCCGCTGCCAGCCTTGAGCCTCCTCCTCTCGTTGCTGCGCATAGACATAATAAGAATTTGCTGTCTCAAGATCTTGCTCGCGCAGACGCAATTGCATCTCGAGATCTTCTCTGACTGTTCTTGCCATGTCGAGCTCTTCGAGCGCCTCTTCGTTCTCTGTGTTGGTGGACAAGAGGTCGCGAGAAAGTTGATCGATGCGTGATGTGTAGGCGGTGCGCACATTTGCTAGCTCCGTATCCAAAGCTTGGCGGAGGCGATCTTCTCGCAACACATGATGCAAATGATGCGTTTCCAGCTCCGTCTCAAATGCTGTGCGTGCTTCGTCCTGAGCCAGAGCGTGCAAGTGCTCGCTGCGCTCCCTCCATTCTGTTGCTTCTTGCAGCGAGACTTCAGCTTGACCGAGTTGCGCCTCGAGAGCGTTGTTCGCTTGCGCTAGAGTCTCATTCTCGATCGAGATACTAGCAGATGTGACTGCACTGTCCCAGGCCTCGTCATCCATGTCTGCAATCCTCTGATCACGTTGTTGAATGGCCTGCAACTCGGCAGCAATGCGCGACTCGCGCTCGCACACCTCTTGAATCAGTGTGTTGCAATCGAGTTTTTGCTCAGCGAGTTCGCCCTGAACCTGCAAAAGCGATGAAAAAGCAGCGTCGCGCTCGCGGGTTCGTGCACTGAGATCGGTCCCAAGCTGCGAAAGCGACGAAAGAGCAGCATTGCGCTCCCCCTGAACAGCATCGCGCTCTCCAATGCACGCAGCAAGATCGCTCTGGACTTGCGAAAGCAACGAGACGGCATCGCCGCGCTCTCCGATGCACACAACAAGATCGTTTCGGATTTGTGAAAGCAACGAGACGGCATCATCGCACTCTGAGACGGCTTCGTCCCGCTCTGTGGTTCGCACAGCAAGGTTGTTCTGGACTTGCGAGAGGGCCAAATGAGCAGCGTCACGCTCCGAGACGGCATTGTCACGCTCTGTGATCCTCACAGCCAGATCGTTCTGGACTTGCGAAAGGGATACGCAAGCGGCGTCGCGCTCTGAGACGGCAACATTGCGCTCTGTAGTGCGCGTCTCAAGGGACGAGACAGCAGCGTCGCGCTCTGAGATAGCAGCATTGCGCTCCGAGATAGCAGCATTGCGCTCCGAGACAGCAGTGTTGCGGTCCGAGGTAGCAGCATTGCATTGCGAGATAGCAGCATCGCGCTCAGAGACTGCAACGTTGCGCTCCGAGACGGCAGCATCGCGCTCAGAGACTGCGATGTTGCGCTCCGAGACGGCAGCCTCGCGCTCTGATTCAAAGGTGTCCACCGTAGCATTTGCAGCTTCCAGCTTCTCTTGAACCCTGAGCAGCTCTGCTGTGCGCGCTTTTAGCTCTGTCTCCAGCTTCTGAGTCCTCGGCAAGAGCTTTTTGCGCTCAGCAGTCAGGTTATCGACCCCAAGTGCGTCGTGGATGAGCAGCTTGAGATGCTCTGCAGTGGTCTCTCTGCCATCCAATTCTGCACGGTACTCAGCTGCGCGACAGTCGGAGATTCCTTTGGCTCGAACCTTTTGTCGAAGGCCAACAAGACGCGCATCGGCAGCTTCCAAAGCGATACGATTTAGCGCGCAAACGACGCTCTCCACCGGCGCTTTGACTTGCACATCCTGCTGCTGCACATCCTGCTGCTGCTGCTGCTGCGATGTTGTCTGTTCTTGCATCCTTTGTGAAAACAAGGTGAGGGCAGTGGGCTGAGTCATGGCGGTACCAGGAGAGGGTTCATCGACTGGCGCATCGTCTTGCGACCCGTGTGGAGCGGGAGCTTCGAGGTTGGTCTGAGCCAATGCTGATGCGATTGATCCTTCTCCTTCGCTGTCTTCCCAGTCGCTTCCTTCGGAGTTGATATCTGCGCCCAACACCATCGTCTCTTCCGCAGTGGATCTCTCGAAATTGTCCCAGAACTCATCTACACGCGTTTTGAGGGTTGAGCCGAGGGTCATGAGCTGCTTGACGGTCTGACTGTTGTCATTCTTGCCAGCATAGCCGCCGTCTTCGTAGGTGTACCTCGCTTCTTGCCAGTGGTGGGAATCCTGACGAAGCCAATCAACATCATCCTGCACTTCCTTGTCCACCACGGTGGCCAGAAGTTGCCACTGTCGAAAGGGCTTGTTGGCAAAGTGATGGAGCACAAGGTAAGGTAGCCTGACGTTGAGCGTGAACTTCTCAGATGCCTCTGCGCGACGAATCCTTGGCCATGTGGGCTTGACTTGGATCTCGTCTTGCTCGTCATGTTCCAGGATGAAACGCTGGTCTGAAGCATTAAAGGAGAGGACGAGCACGCCCTCTGAGCTGCGCACGGTGTATGCCAAGTCGCAAGGAGACAATTGCCTCAACTTTGAGGGAAAGTAAGCCACCAAAGACTGGGGCACAGGCGAGAAGGCTTGCCATTTGCCAGCAGTGGGGAGCTCCAGAGAGCGTGCGTAGATTGAGGCTGGCACTGCTGGACTTTGTATCGTGCACCTGTCTCCGAACCGAATTCGCAGCGTACCAAAAGCGACAAACTTGTCTTCCTCGCCCAGATCCCACTGGGTTGTGCGCAAAAGACTGTCGGCAAGATGAACCCAAGTAGTCTCGGAGATCAAATGCCAATCCTTGATGCGATGGGCAAGGCACAAGCGACACAGGGGCTCCCCAAGGCCAAGACTCAGCGCATCTTCGAGAGCAATGATTCCAACTTCTCGAGTCTCAGAGTCACCTTGCTCCAGGCCATGCGCAACAACCCAAAGACCATGAATGTCGTCTGAAGACGACGCTCCTGGTCCATTGCAGCGGGAGAGAGCAAGGTAGACTTGCTTGACGGTTGCAGTCATGCTCCCCTCAAGATCCAGCTGGTGGATCTTGCCACCTCGAGCATGAAGATCAAGGTGGTATTGACCGTCTTGTCCCTGCACATCGAACCAGTAGTGACCATTGGCAAAGAAGGGCAGCGGTCCATCTACAAGCTCATCAAGGTAGGGTGGAGGCACACCATCGAGAGAACCAATGGCCGCTGCAGCAATGATCATTTGACCGATCGCTGCCTGATGCTGGGCAGATGCATCACCTGATGACAATGGCACCTGGTTCGACAGAGTGCTTACCAATGGGATGTTGTCCGTGAGCACTCCTTGGGCATGTAGAGGGTCTGGACCCAGAGGAAAGTGGCGCAGCAAGTAGACGTCTGGCAGCATGTCCATATTGTCAGCTCTGGAGAGGTTGCGAGCAATGGAGCGAAATGTTGGGTGCAGCTCAAGATGCACAGAGGGGTCGATCCTGTGGATGAGCTTGAGCGTGCGCCGATGGCATTGCTCTCCAATGGTGCATAGGCAGACCCTGTCTCCACCTGCTGCGACTGCTGCTTGAAGTTCTCTCGGCCTAGCATAGTCAGGATTGAGGACCTGGACTTGAAGGCTCGAGAAGTTTTCCAGACAACCCTTGAGCTCTGCTGCCTGCTCAGGGTTTGTGACGTCCGCCAGCAGGATGAGAGAGACAGGGCTGATGTGCAGCACAGGGGGCAAGGTGATGCTGTTAAAGGGGAAGCTTGTCATTGCCTCCTCGTCATTCCAGCCCCTGTTGCCCCGTGCAGAAGACTGGCCTGCTCCTTGAGTGTTGGCAAGCAGGTACTTGCCACATGCCTCGATACAGAATCCTTCGACGGTGACCAGGTTGTGAGAAGTGGCATTGGGTATGTGATACAGCACGTACACTGCCATCTGCTGACGGTTCATGTGCTGACACACAAACTTTAAAAAGGAAGGCGGAAGGTCGGAGTTATCGGCCTGTAGGCACGATGGCAGTCAGCCGTGCTCTATTCGCGGGCCGAGAATCCTGCTCGCCTCACTCACCGCTTCGATGTCTGCCGCTGCTCGTACCGATGCACAGTTGAGACTCTGTCCGATATAGGCGAGGAGGCGCAGCGACTTTCCATCCTGCGCGGCAATGGGGCACGAGACACGAAGCACGTGAGCAAAGGCGAAAAAGCTGTTCACGCAACACCGTCTCGCAAAGCTCCCACTCACATGACCGTCTGCCTTGCAAGCCTCCAGGTTGCACAACACCGCGGCGACTCTCGCCAGAGCTGTACCCCTCCTGAGCCCATTGCCCTTTCGCTTTTGACCATACTTCTTCACGTAAGCCTTGCAAAGCTTGATCAACTCATCCACTTCGATCCAGCCAAGTACTCTGACATAGACGCTTCCTCTGGTCGTTGACGGGTCGAGTTGAATGTGTGCAAAGTGATGTGCCAATCTGTCCTGTACGGAGGTGAAGCATCGAGGATCTTCGGGCCGCACCAGGTCAACAAAGGCTTCCCTAAGGCTGTTCAGCTGGGCCTTGAACGCGCTCGTGCTTATGTCGAGACTGCTGAGCATGACCTCGAGCCTGTTATGGCTTCCTTTCTTGGTGCGAAATGCTGGGCCCTCAAAGGCCAGCTTTGCAATCTCGTTGAGACGCTTCGTGTCGATTCGCTCGCTCATTGTAGAAAAAAAAAAAA